GGCAGCTGAGATCATAAATGTCATTCTGTCAGTGTGATGGGTTCTTCATGAAAAGAAAAAAAAAACCTGACTGAGTGCCTCGAGAGCTGTCATCAAACAGATTCATCTCATTCTTGAAGCAAGCACAGCAGTAGAGGAGGGCTTCTCTTTCTCTCACTGCTATCCCATGTCTTTCTTCCTTCCTCATTCCCTGTCACATTTTCTCAGCCCACGTCTCTGCTGGGCTTAGAGCTTCCCACCCTCTCCCCAAAATGCCATGAAAGAGCTGTCATGATTGTTAGTGAAGCCATGTGCATACAGCTGCAAACTTCTCCATGGCAGGAGGGTAAGAGAGTGGGATTCAGCGTTGACAGTCCTAACACCATTTGTCTGGAAAATTTTGAGGAGAGAACATGAGTAATGAAGACAAGAGCAGTGACAGTAAAGAATAAATGTGTGTTTCTGTCCAAGACATAACAGAATTTTTAAGATTCTTGTTGTTTCCAGACAAACCTACAGTTTCAATCTGTACAACTCCGCTTGTTGTTTCCAGACAAGCCTACAGTTTCAGTCTTGCTCAGCTGAATTACTTTTGTTCTCTCATTTCACATGGGAATTTGATAGAGTAACCACAATTAGAAGAATCTCCATCATCAGATACAGGTTAGAAGACTCATTTCCTAACTCTGAATTGCAGTGGGAGAGCATCAGTGGCAGTTATTCTGCTGAGCAATTTCTTTATGAAATTTTAGGGATGTCTCATCTCTATTTTTCTTCATTTTTACAGAAAAGTTTTATTATTTTTGATATCTGCAGGTAAAAGGAAAGCTTTTTTTTTTTTTTTTTTTTCCCCTCAGACTGAATCATAGAATACCAGGTTGAAAGGAACCTCAAGATTCATCTGGTCCAATCTTTCTGGCAGAAATATGGGCTAGACAAGATGGCCCAACACCATGTCCAACTGATTCTTAAAAGTGTCCAGTGTTGGGGAATCAACAGCTTCCTTGGGGAGATGGCTGTTTGTTCTCAGTGTGAAAAATTTTCTTCTTGTATTCAGTCAGAGTCTCCCCAGGAGTAACTTGTACCCATTACCTCTCATCTTTTCCATGTGACTCCTTGTAAAAAGGGAGTCTCCGTCTTCTTTCTAGCCACCCTTTAAATACTGGAACATGGTCATAAGGTCTCCCCTAAGACTTCTCCTCTCAAGGTTGAACAAACCCAGTTCTCTCAGCCTTTCCTCACATGACAGGCTTCCCGGTCCTTTGATCATCTTTAGGGCACTTCTCTGGACCCTCTCCAGCCTGTCCACATCTTTTTTTTGTATAGCGGGGACCAGAACTGAACACACCATTCCAGGTGTGGCCTGACAAGCACTGAGTAGAGTGGGATAATGACTTCTTCATTTCTGCTGGTGATGCCATTGTTGACGCAACCCAGCATCCCATTGGCTTCCTTTGTCACTGCAGCACACTGTTCACTCATGTTGAGCTCATGGTCCACCAGGACCCCCAGGTCTTTTTCCAGAGAGCTGCCCCCCAGCCAGGTAGATCCCAGCCTGTGCTGCACTCCTGGATTATGTTTTCCCAGATGCAAGACCTTATGCTTGTCCTTGTTGAAAGGTTCTTGTTAGCCCACTCTTCCAGCCTATCCAGGTCTTCCTGCAGAGTCGCTCTCCCTTCTGAAGTGTCCACTTCCCCACGCAGTTTGGTATCGTCAGCAAACTTCACCAGGGTACTTGTTGGGTATTTGTTGGTTTAGGTGTAATGCTAAAATGCGAGTGTGGAAAATGTTTCTTAAAAGCAAAGCAAGAAGTAATTCTTGTTGCACAAACCACTGTTCTGAGGAAAGCCACTATCAGTCGCTGGCTGAAAGACTCCTCTGTAGCCATTTTTGATTGTTTAATAATTCACACTGAGAATTTTCTCTCGAGTCTAGTTGCAGTACTTCACTCTTTTCCTAGGGTGGGTTTTTTTTCTGCAATCTAGGTAGTAAAGCTATGCATGACAATTTCCTTTTGTTACCAGATCCCTGAAGTTTAATGTTGCAAGATTCTCGGGGGCTGGAAGATTTATTTTGTGTCCTGTATTGCTTGTGTCAGTATTGCGGAAGGCAACATGATCTGTAAGAAATGTATGCAGGACAGAATCTGAAAGTTCTGATTTCTGATCTGGGCTGTCTCCTCGCTCTTTGTACTTGCCCATCAAAAGATGTAAGCACATGTAACTGTTCGTCTGTTTTGTAATGAATATTAGCTTGTGCTCGTGTGTTCAAGGCCCTGTGCAATCAGAGATCAGATAGCTGGTTCTGTCTCTTGGAGTCAGGCTGAGTTTACCTCAATGTTAACACTGTTTCATTTATGGCAAAAAAATAGGCATTTTAAAAGATGAGGTACCTGAATTTAAATTTCTATCGTATTAACCAACTTGTGTTAATATTCAATTAATCATTGCCAATTAGAAGGAAACGTATAATTAAATATTTTAATTATAGGACTACTAGCCTGACTTGGAGTAGCTATTTTTCTCATTAAGGCACATGGCTTCATTAACTGATTAGACACTGGTTGACTCATACACATGAATCCCTTATTTGGACTTTATTATAAGCAGACCACTATGGTTTCCATCGGCTTAATTCAGAATGCCAGATTTGCCTCTGACAACTACCAGAATGGCTTATGTTTCTAGAAGCAAAGGTGTGTGGGAGGTGGCTATTTCAGAATAGCAGTGTGTCTGTTTCTCTGAGTAATGAATAAACTACAAATTGTGTAGCTCCCCATCTTTGGCAGCAAGGTGGGTTGGCACAGATTTCAAGCTGCCTGTAGAAGGGTGCACCCTAGTATATTTAAGGCTAATCTGCTTTCAAATGTCTGTGTGATAGGACTGTTGCCTTGGAGCATGAGTCGCAATCTCTGTTCAGAGAATCGGGCAGTCTGTTCAGAGGATCTTTCTCTTGGATCATCTTCTGCAGAGATTTAATTTAAGATAGGACTAGTTGTTCCATAACTGTTTTAATTCATTATGCACTATTTTAATTTCCTTGTTGAGGCTCCTGCACAGTCAGGCATGCAGAGGTGGAGTGCGTTACATACTGAATATTAGTTTAGGCCCAATAGATGTATTTTTTAAGGTGCAAGTTGTAATCTATGACACTGATCAAAAAGAAGGGTGTATTGAGGCACATGTCAGATAAAATTATTTCAGCTTAATGAAAACTTATCACCTGTATACTGTGCAGAAAGCAGTTCCCTTTCCTGTGAAATGTGAGACGTGGAGACTTTGTACTTATTGAAAAGCCAGGCACATTTTCAGTGTATCTTAAGAGCAGCATGACAGAACTAAAGTAGACCAGTGAGGCACGTTGTGTATTTGTAATGGCTGTAATATTGGAGTCCAACAACTGGCAAAACACTGTAAGACAAGCTCTAAAACATAAGTAGGAAAAGTGGGTTAGTTTATGCTGCATGTGAGGAACCAGGGAAAGTTAATAGAGCATACCCCGGAGGGAGAGGCTGGCAGGTATTCCTAGTCTGACTTCATTAGATATTTGCTCAAGGAAAGTCATGCTGTTGATAAGCAGTGGATCAGATAAGATCACTGAAATAACAAGGATATGGATAATGTTTTAGCCATGGCAGTTATCTTTCCCTGGCTAATCAGGACAGCTAACACAAAGTAGATATGTTTTCTATAAGCACAGGATACCAGGCAGTGGAAACGTAAAATAAAGGTAAAAACATGTTCAACAGGTCACCATCCTGCCAAAAAGATACAGTTACCTTGTTATTTGTTAGATTAATGTACTTCAAAATGGATTCACCTAATGCTTTTCTTTATTCCTTGATCTCCATCTTGCACTAGAATATTACTGTAATCGGTCAGCGGCTTTCAGCAGTTAGTTTCCTTGCAATGCTACTACAAACAATTTCATTTTTAGTACAGTTTGGATTAAATTCATTCGCAGCTTCTATTAAAATAAAAAACAAAAACAACCAAAAACCAGAACTGATTCTGCTATGCACAGGTTTGGGAAGGGAAAATGTTTTTTCTAGCCTCACCTGACTCAGATTGCAGAGTGGCAGAATCTGCTGAAATCCACTGCCTCTGAGATGCCACAAAAATCAGGCTTGGGCATCCTGTGTTCCAGTCAGTAATGTGCATTTCATGTGCTATTCCAGAGCCCTGGTCAATACACTCTCCATTGTAAAAGAGGGGAAGAAAAAAAAAAAGGAAAAAAAAAAAAAAAAAAGGCACTACGTTATCTGAAGTAACATGGTCGTGAATTTTAACTACTTAAGGCTTTCCACACACTATTTACTTATAAGCTGAAATTTATAAAGTTATTAATGCAAACAGCATTCTGACTAATTCTTCAAAAAATGGCTGAGCACTTTGAATTTAATAGTGTGCATGTACAGGTTGGGCCTATTTTGTTTGTGTTTGTATTGTTCATGTGTACTAATTCAGGTTTAAATTGTTATCCATATGGAAAGAGAAGGAAGCATGGTATGGTACTTTGATGTACTGCCTTCAGTCATAAGAGATATAATTTACATGCTGTGACTTAAAAATCTCCCTCCTGCCCAGGGAGAAAATAGGTCAAACCTGCATTCAGTTATTTTTCAGCAGCAGCCTACATCAGTTAGCTTGTGCAGGGAGAATGAAGTCGGCACACAGGAGAAACTAAATGAGGTAACAGATTAAGCTTGCAGTTGTTTAGGATGGTGTGTATTCTCCGTGTATCTCTATATGACCCAGCTATGGCTGGAAGAAACTAATCAGTTCATTTTCTATTCAGTACTGCCAGCAGGAGGGTTTTTTACAGGGAGCAAAGATAATTTGTCCTTTTCTTGATGCTCATTTTGATTGTTAAGAAAATGTGTATATGCAATAGAATGGGAAGTATCACACTGCTTGGTGATGACCCCAGATGAAAGCAATATACCTTCAATCTGCCCAAAGGGATGCCTCATCAAGGAAGTTCTAATATTTTTCCTAAAATATTTGTTGTGAATACAACAGATTCACAGTCGGAGAGTGAGGCTTCTCCTGTGAAACGGCCACGGCTACTGGATGACAGTAATGACAGGCCTGAAGAAACCAGTCGATCCAAACAGAAGAGTAGACGCCGATGCTTCCAGTGCCAAACAAAACTGGAGCTAGTACAGCAGGAACTGGGATCATGTCGCTGTGGTGAGTACTGTTTGTCAGTAGCGTCCAGCTTTCCAACACAGCCGTGATTGGATCCGTATCAGAGGTGGAAATACAGAGAACGCTTGCATTTTTTTTAATCTTTCAAAGATACTTTAAACAGAAGCTATAGCTTCCGCTGGTAGCAAAAAGTTATAATTAGTTCTTGTCTAATTTCCCCTTTAAAACTTTGGCCTTGATGTGCTGCCTTGTCTCAAGAGATCTCAGATGTTAATGAATTTAGCTTCAGAAGTCCCTGTAAGGCAGGAGAGCGTCATACCCACTTGACAGGAGAAGAAACACAAAGCACATCAGTAAATATGCAAAGATAACAAGTTTTCTACAGAGCTTAAAGGAACATAGGTCAGCATCTACGTTCTGCATTTTACAATCACGTTGTTACTCAAAAGTTAAAACCATAAAAACCTCTAACTGAAAATGCTTTCATTCTCACAGTTAGCTGTTATGGGGGGGAAGGCTTGTTGTTCATCATACACTTAAAAGCATCCAACCTGGCTTTTCCAGAGTTGATGATACTGTTCAGCATGTTGAATTGAGGATGATAATCTCATGCAGACAGATAATTTGGGGTTTCATATTACATGCAAATAATCTTTCTGAAACAATAATTAATGTGACTGGATTCCAGAGGAGATGCTCTCTCCTTCATGGAACAATTGTGTTCATAACTGGTTTAATGTACTCATCAGACCCAGTGATAATGCACATGGTAGTTTTACCTGCTAATTATTTTTTCATATAATCATGTATTGAAATCTTACACTTAGGCTTTCTGGCTATGCTTGTATTGATACATTTGGAGAAGTTTGTTTAGTTCATTATGTCTCAGTAGTGGGATAATTTTGAAAGGATTTGCATAGATGACAGATGCAATTGACACTGTATTAAACATTGTTTTCTGGATAGAAGAGGAGAGAAAGGATTGGCTAAGCTAGTTACAGAGACCCAGTTATTGAATTCTATGTTGAATACCTAATATCAAGTGAAGAGAATCAATAGAAAGCTACAAAGATTCCATGGTGTCCTTTGTTCTTTTCTTCAGCGTCTACCTGTTTCAACCTTTAGAGATTACTGTTGTGTTGTGTTCTTTTAGACATGAGACAGTCTTCGTTTCAGAGCATTGCCACAGAACTAGCATATGTTATCTGTGAAGCCACCAAACATGAAATCAAAAGCTGTAATGTTGAAATTCTTGTCATGGAAATCCCGTGTCGGGATACTTTGAAGTATCCAGTACTAGTTTTTATCAAACTGAAGAAATTCGGTACTATCAATGACAGCTGTTTCTGCTCAGCATGGTAGAGGTGTTTCTGCTCGTGGTCTGCTGCTGTCACATATCAGATGATTGAGGCTGCTAACAGGTACCTGACTGAAATAGAAGAATCCTCCCTAATATTGGGAGCAAGAGAGTTTTACAAGTTTGGAGAGAACTGGAGAAAAGATGATTTAGCAATTCTGCAAAATTGAAGTTATGTAAGAGCAATGAAGTTGAAAGCAACTTCGACTGATTAGTAATATTTTTAAAATTATACAATAAGACATGCCTTTTTTTCATAAACTGTATGACAAATAGATGTAGTTGGTTCCTCTCAAGTTTTCTTGAGGTAGTTCCATAATTCAACACTGTTGCAATATAAATGTTCTAGGAATTATTATTTAAATTGTTTCCACTGGATATATACAGCTTTATGGAAATAATTCTATGAAAGTTCATAAAATGTGTTGTTAAAACATGAATATGAAACAAAAAATTCTGAATTCCGCAGTAACAAGTGAGGAAATGAAAATCTGCATTCCTATATTACATCCTGTATATGATGTATAATAAACATCTATATTCCAAACATCTAATGAGAATTGGGAGTCAGGAGTCCATTTCTACATTTAAACATGGCTGAAACGACTGGAGATCTTTGGTTTATCCATGCAGCTATAATGTTTCATGGGTACTGTATTCAGTGCATATGTGTTATCTGTAATTAAATGCTCTTACATGATGTGAAAGTAGGCGTACCCTGCACTATTTACTTTTAATAGTGATATTAATAAGCAAACAAAACCCTATCACTGAGCAACACAGATCATCTCAGCTTCATATCACCTAAACTGCTTTACCCCAGTACACATCAGCATGTAGCTTTTGTCATTTTTAAAGAAGTTGCCTTAGAAACCATTCTCACTAACTATCTGTAAAATTAGGTTGCTTTAGGTCATGAATGACAAGCCAGATCAGAAACCTTGAAGGGGGAGGTGTGTGGGGTGTGTGTGTCAGAAATGAGACAGAACAAATATGTTAAAATCTCATTCATTTGAAATGTTTTTGAAATCCATATGTGATCAGGTTATCCTTTTTGTCATAATACGAATGCATGTTTAACTGGAAGTGTTGGAAATATAATCAACTGGTATAAAATAAGCATGTATACTCTTCAAAAGTAATGGTCAAAGTAGAACACTGTTTGATCTGGACTTTGGACTACTGCTGTTAAATTCATTGGCATCTTAATCCTTAATTGAAATAGCGGGAAAAATCCTCAACTTTAAACATTAAAAGAAATTCTGATAGTCAGAATTGATAAAAAGGCAGATGTGATCTTTTTCTGTGTGTTTGCTTGGATGTAAGGAAAAAGAATTAACCACATAAATATTATGTTGTTCCAAAGCTCTGTCTGAAACATAGTTGTTGAAATCCAAATTAACTCTTTAAGGCTGCACTGAACATCAATTTTATTGCTTGATGGTAGACATATTCTTGTCCTAATCTTAAAAGTATTGAAAATCATCTCCTTTTGTGTTGATGTGTTCTGGTGACCCTTCCAATTAGAGTTTTTTAGTCAAATAGAGTGAAAAGAAAAATCTATATGTACTGGATGATGTTTTAATACAGACATACCTGCAGATATTTATCCAGCATAACTGGGATTTGTCCAACAGGGACTTGTCCCCCCTTTTTAAAAGGGGACAGAGAGTGGGCTGCTTCTTCACACCTAAGGCTTTACATGAAATTCTGACATCTTTGGGTAACTGCTGTTTTGGCTCTACTGTCTCCTATGAGACCTGTCCAGAGAGGTGATGCTGCTTGAACTTGTTCCGTTGACACTACATGGGATTTTAGACAGATTTGATACTGCTGCAGGGCTTTGCCTTGAAGAAAAACAATTCACCACTGAGAAGGGAGTTCCAATAAGTGTTCTTCAAATTCAAACACAACATTTTTCAGCTGTAAAAAGATTTGTTTATTTTCATACATGCATACTCTCAAGATGTTTCTTCATTCTGCTTCCGCTCTGTACAAGTTATTAACTGCTGACAAGAAATTCACATCTCATAAATAATGCTTAAGAACCATTGCTATATAAATTGAATGTGTTATGAATTGTGATGGGCCTTTTTGTAGTCTTCTGTGCCTGAAGCAGGAAGAACAGAGGATGTCATTTTCATTAATTTCTAATGAGGTGCCAATTAAAGGCAAGGAAGGAACTCTGAAGGGAAGAGTCACAGAGCTCCCCTGAATCCTGTACCCTGGGGCTGTCAAATGAGCATGCTGCCAAGCCTCCTCTTAAAGTTCCAGTAAATTACAAACTCATCCAGAGCACACACAGACAAATTCGGCTTCCCTTTGATCTTCAAAAGAGCAATTTGTAAGATGAGTTCTGAGCCTTTTCACACAGCAACTGGGGGAAGTGATAGGAATTGTTAATTGCTGATACACTTTGCAAGCTTCAGTGAGAAGGAGAAATTTTAAAATGAGTTCTCATTTGGTGCCTCTCTGACTGGATAACCTTTAAATCAACACTACTAGAATAAAACCAGTTTCCTATGAAACGTTTCTAGATGACAGTTACACTAGGCATATTTTCCAGACAGCGATGTTCTCTAGTTTTGGGTGGGCCTTTCAATGAATTTAGTGTCTTATACAAGAGAATGATTATATTGAAATTGTATATTTATTCCATGTTAGGTTTAGTAGGCAGTTATATTATCAGGAATTACAGGAATCATATTCTTCAAGTTATATTCAATTATAGCATTTCTGCTGGAAGTGAAAGAAGTCTGAAATCATTTGCCTCTGATACTTGATCAGAGTGTCAGTTCAGGGATGTGATAAGCAAGTGGTTACCTCAAACTTGCTATTGGTCAGTGAAAGTAGTTATATAATACAGAGTTCTGGAAATGTATTTTAGAAAAAGGCAGGTCAATTATTTGCAAATTACACTATAAATTTATGTGCCTTGTCTTAATTACTTGACTAGATGTATATTGCTACTAAATAAAGTTGTGTACATTTTTAAAAGTTACTGACCTGTAAACTTCTAAGCCATAGAAATTATTTGCACAGAAAGCATAGCTTAATTTTATGGAAGAGTCTTGGAATTTTACAGAAAAAAAGTAGTTCTGGTATCAATTGCTGTGTAAAGACAACACATAAAGTTTCCAGTGGCCTTTAATATTGTTGGAATTACGTAAGATGTATGAGTGTACTCTAGATGATCAGGAAAGGAGTTTCACACCCATCATGTTGAATCCAGTCCCAGTCGTCAATTAAATAAAAATTAGTACAGTGTGCAAGCTCTTCAGCTTATTGTAGAACAGTTTGCTATTTGTAGGCCACATCCTAATGGGCACATCTGTACCTCAGGCTCCACCTATGCAGAACTCTTGGCAATCAATGGTCTGGCTAAGATCATGGGCCATGGAAAACAAGCCTTTCTTTAGCTTCCAGCAGCAGTGCCTTGGAGAGGTGTTGCTGATTCGTGTGCTTCTCATATAGGAATCTCGAGGTTTTCGTGTTCTTTGGACAGAGTAGATGGTTAATAGGGTGGGAAGATGCTGAAACCTTCCAGTTCAATCAGACTGTATTAAAAAATAACTGCTCAGTTGTGGTGCAATCTGATCAAACAGTTGTTAGCAGTACTTCTTGCCTGTGTGGACAGAAGAGATTTTCTCAGAGTTTTACCGGCCTGGGTTGTGTTGTAACAAGC